TATTGGTTAATCTGCAGATGTAATTAGGATTTAGAAGCTTTTTTTCATGAGTAAATACCATCATCTTTTCCTTTTTCTTTTTTGCAGCCTTTGGGATCACGCTACTATGACAGAAGTGAAATCTCTAAATTTTAATATGTCTGTTAGCAGTATGGAATATATTCCTGAGGGAGAGATCTTGGTAATAACTTATGGACGATCTATTGCTTTTCATAGTGCAGTAAGGTATGTACAAGAAATACCTTCATTTTCTTTTATGGTAACAAAGGACAACCTTGAGTACTTATTTAGAAGGCATCAGTGGAAAGGTACTTAACTCTTTAAAAGGCAAATTTTGACCTATTAAACACTGATCTTCAATTTTTTTCATGTCATGGCACACATAAACTAATTACTAAAATTCTGTGGCACACCAAAAAATAGTTTTTGCCAATATGACAAAGGTCTGATTTTGATTTGTTCACACTGGATGGCTATTGTTTTGTTGGTTGTTGTCATTTTTTAATTTGACAATCTAGGGGAAAAGAGGTCAGTGCCCCTGACTAAATAGTCAGGTATTGCATGTTTTTAAAATTCTGTGACATGCCAGTTGAAAATTGCTGCTCTATAATAATGGAGGGAAATGTTTCCATACCATTAATAATGTGTTTTTAAAGAATTTGGTATACTTTAATCAGAGGAATTAGTCAAATTAATTTCAGATATTTAGGACATTTTTTGATGAAGTTTAACAACTTTTAAATTATATTTTTCATTAAAGGATCACTGGACTGGTGCTGTAATTTATATTGTTACTGTATAAAACCACTGTGATCTTGATTTTCCTATTTTACTTTAAAATTTTTGAGAAGTAGTGATTTTTTTTTCCTATTTCCACGTATATGTATACCTAATTATTCTTCTTTAAATAGACTTTTGTGACTACAAATATAGTAAATGTTCTGGTTGAAAATTTGGAAAATACAATTTAAAAAAATTACCCACGGTGCTGCAATCACAGATCCTAGAATGTTAATTGTAGCTTTTGTTTTCTACCAGTCTTTTTTTCTTTGTTATATATGTAGGTGTATTTGTGGTGTTCCTCCCCTTTGGTTCTGGAACCCTAATGAGTGTAATTTTTATTTTAAAATATTCTTAGTCATTAAAAATTCTTGCAAAACATTTTTGCTAGGCATTTTGCATTATAGGTTGCACTAAATTGTGTTAGTTCCCCTGCTTTAACACTGCAGTATTATGGTGCATCTCTGAGTGTTTCCTTACCGTAGAATCCTATAAGTAGAGTTCAAAGAGTAGGAATATGTTTAAAGTTCTTAGTATACATGTTACTTAATTGATTTCCATAAAGATTATACTACATTATACTCTTGATCATCAGCAGTCCTAAACTTTTGTTTAAAGGGCCACTTGCAGAGCTAAGCTTCACTGAATGACAGAAGGAAAGAGAAGGTAGTAAAAATGGAGGAGAGCAATTACAAAAGTAAAGGAGTTCATACACACACAGTGAATTGATAAAAGCAGAGTACTGTTGCCCAGAGCCATTAAATTGCACAAGTTCATTAATTGGTCACTCCTGGATCTGGGCAACATGCAGTCCTGCTGTAGACTGTTGCCTAAAGTCGCATGTTGGTGGCAGAGGTTTGCTGACCTATTGAATATTCTAATATTTGAGCCAGAAAGTTCTATTCAGTGATCCCATGTAAGTCATGACTACTTTACTTTCATGCTTTGTAGTGTGTGATGGTGGGAATAGAATGGTGGCATTTAGGAGCTGGAATGCTCTGATGTTTTGTATTGGAGGCCTTTCAGGAATTTTAGGGTTGGACTGGAAAAGAGCCAATGTCCAGACTCATTTACATTCAAATGAAGCTGTTTTATGTATTGACTTTTATTATGTAGCTATCGTCTCACATTTAGTTATTATTTTATTGCCTAATAGTAAAAACTGAGTTAGTTTTAGCAGTTTTATATTTTATGGGATTGAAGGTTTGTCCTGTTGCAGCAGCTTTATAAATTCTCAGCAATTGAGAATACGTAGTGTATAAATAATCCTTTAATATAATTACATTGTAAAAGACCTTTTCTGTTTACCAAGATAATGTAGTGGAAAAGTTAAACAATACATAAAATTAAATTTTTTTCATAGTAAAAATCCCAATATATTTGCCATACTGCTTTAATTAGCCAGCACACACATTGGCAGGAAGGCATCCACTTCACAAAATGTGGCTATCCCTCTCTTGAAATGTCTGTATTCTGGGATGAACTCCATTTGGGCATAATATCCTCCTGAACTTTTTTGCTAATATTATTTAGAGGTTTTTTGTTCGCTTGTTTGTTTTTAACATCACTGTATTTGACTAAGTGAATATTTACTTGTTCCTTGGGTTTCAGAATTTAGGACCAGTTAAATGTAATTAATTATTTCCTTATATTATTTATGCAATATTAAAAATTTGTAAGTATTATTTCCTTATATTATTTATGCAATATTAAAAATTTGTAAGTATTTATTATTTCTATTTTTTTCCAGCTTGGAGCCAATTAAATCCTTTGAAGCTCCTGCAACCATCAATTCTGCATCTCTTCATCCTGAGAAAGAATTTCTTGTTGCAGGTGGTGAAGACTTTAAACTTTATAAGTATGATTATAATAGTGGAGAAGAATTAGGTGAGTTGTCTTCTTTTTCCTCCCATAGGATGATGTAGTTGGTTACCTTTATAAAATGCTAGGTTTCAGTAATTAACACCTCAGCAGATTTTTCAGCTAACTAAAGCTGATAGCTTCCAGGTAAGAAAGGAAAGGATTTTTTATCCATTTTGGATAGAAATGTTCATAGATCTATAAACAAAGTATGCTGAACTCAGCTTACCTTTTCCTTTTAAGTTCATCATGTGTTGACATTGTATACAATAGTGCAGTATACTTATTGGGGGGATCTTAATGTCAAAGTCATTAAGTAGTTGCAAGGAGATCTGTTCTTTCTGAAGTATAGTGCAGGTATGTAGCCCCATCTACCTATCCCTTCTCCCTAAGGCTCTATAGTGAATGGCATGGGGGGAAACAGCTGTAGCTCATTTTGGGGATACCTTAGGGATCTGAATTGGAGAGAGGGGTGTTTTGGTATTTTTTTAAATTTATTTACTGGAGTCTTGACTTTTGCTTCCATTTTCATAATAGTCTTTAATAAAGGAAAGGGAAAGACATGTAGGATTAATTTGACGTTAATGCTCATCCTAACTTTACATTTATCTGATGGATTAGGTATTTCATAGTATGGTTCTCAATATCTACTTTAGCCTTCCCAAATAGTTTTTGCTTTTTGAACTAATGTATTTAGTTTTTATTCTTTTTTTGGTCTATAAGTTGCCACTTTTTTTCCTAGCTATCGTGCTTTACCACCCAGTGAACTAATAAGCTTTTTAGAATGATACACAAAGAGCAAAAGACAATTTTATGTTTTGTTTCTTTGGGAAAGCTGATGAATTTGGGTTGGATAAGTGAAAGCTTGGTGGATGGACCATATAGAATCTATTTTAATTGCTTATGGTTCACCCTTTATTGCTTGAATATAAGTGACTTTTAAGTAAGACTTTCTTTTTAATTTTTACTTAATGTCAGTTTTCAAAGTTTTAGAATGTCTTGGCCATATATATGTATTCTTTTTCAAAAAAGAAGTAAATTATTTGCCTGATATCTGAGATCACAGTGAGTTAAAGACCTTGGGCCCAGCCATTCTCATTCCAAACCTCTTATCCTTTCTACTCTCATGATAGTTTTTCTCATGATAAATACTCTCGTGATATTCTCTGGTAGGACAGAGATGGAGGAAGATGGTGCTTGAGAGTCCTTGAGTTGAATAGACATGGAGGCAAGACAGATGGAACATTGGTCCAGTAAAGAGCTTTGAAAACTAATAAGGTGGTGAGGCATTGGAAAGTAAATGAGAAAAGTTCATAAGAAAGGATATGACTTAAATGGACCACCACCACTACTAATGTGTGCATTTTCTCATTAAATTTCATAGATTAAAATATGTAAGGATCAGTACTGATTCTGTATCTCTGTTCTGTGACAGAAGGACTAGTGGTCTCTACATAGTCTGGTAGGAAATTAAGAGACAAAGTGTGTAAAAGAGCTCCATCTAGTGGCTCTCGATAGCCATAATTAAGAATTGGATCCCTGGCAAGTAGGCAGTGAGTTTAGGATATGGAAATTGAGATGGAACTGATAGATTTACTTTCTGTAAAATTTAGGGAGGTTTTCATTTACTCCCTTCATCCTTATTGGGACGTGAAGCCTCATTTTTATTTTAGAGAGAGACACAACCTGAAACCAGAATATGTGCTAGAATTGGAAAGGGATAATCTTACAGATAAATGTTAGACATGACATACCACTTGATGATGAGAATCATTTCATTTTTAATTAAGTATAGTTCTTTGTATTTGTCTTTATGAATTTCACATCTCCCCAGTAATTTAGACAGTATTAAGTGTATCAGTATCTAATCTAATATTTATTAAATTATCTAATAGCCCTTCTCCTCTTTCAGAATCCTACAAAGGACACTTTGGTCCTATTCACTGCGTGAGATTTAGTCCTGATGGAGAACTCTATGCCAGTGGTTCTGAAGACGGAACTCTGAGACTGTGGCAAACTGTAGTAGGAAAAACATATGGCCTTTGGAAATGTGTGCTTCCTGGTAAGAATTTTTATTCAGAGTTATCAAATTAAACTTCGATTTTGTGTCATTTTTAATCATTAGTTTTATTTCAGCCTTTCTGTCTCCTATAGATTTTAAATTACATAACATGGTTTATGCAAAGAGAAGCCCGTGATCGATTATAAATTGGCTACTGTGTTCTTTTGTTTAAATTTTTTTGTTGTATAATCTGTTCTGTTTCTGAATTTGTACACTGGTCATTTGGTGACTGGAATAGACCTAATTCAAAATTTGTTAGAGGGCAATATAAGGAATTTACAAGTAAATTCTGTGTAGCATTATTTCCTGGTCCTTACTAATAAAGTAGACATGTTTTTATTTTATTTTATTTTATTTTTAGGAACTAAAGAAATTTGTTGAGGGCAAGAGGATACAAGCAATATAAAAATCAAAAGCTTATCTGGCTTTCATTGGCTTTACTTTCTCTTATTGAGTGAGGTTGGGATTTTATTTGCACATTTTTTAAGGGTCCCAGTCTGCTCGTGAAATCCTCATCAGGGGGAAGCTGTGGGGCACATATACCTTAGGCAGCCCATTGAGAGAACTCTTATCAGGGTGGAAGTAACTGCTCGGTGCTGCCTACTTCCTTCCCTTCTGCTTCATGTGTACTACAAAATAGTCATTGCATGTGATGGTGAGCCCAGCAATTAGTGAAAAGATGCTCTGGAAGCCCACTTTGCCGTCTTGGCACTGGTCCATGTCCTTCATTATTTTGTCTTTGGCCAGAGGGTCTTTTTGATTTTCCAAAAATCCAGGGAACTCCTTTTCCATGAGTACTCTCAGTTCCTCCTTTGTTAAGTAGCCTTTATCCCCAGCAAATTTATGAAACGTGAACATCATGGTTTCCATGGCGTATTCCATTTGAGATGGCATTTTTGGTGAGGTCTTATTGGGAGGTGCTGCAGGATCGTCAAGTAGACATGTTTTTAATAAAATACTTAGCAGTTGGCCCCAACGTAGTTGTGTGAACCTGAAAGTAATTTTTGAGGGAAGACATATATTATAATTACTAAAAAAGTTGTTTCTATTATGTTTTATATCCAATTGCTTGGAATAGTCTTGGCTTACTCTTCTTGCTTATTAGATACTTTCGCACATCATCATTATTATTGCTTTTCTTTCCATAGAAGAAGATAGTGGTGAGCTGGCAAAGCCAAAGATCAGTTTTCCAGAGACAGCGGAAGAGGAGCTAGGTAAATACTGGTGAATTAACTTTTGTCAAATCCTAAGGGTCTTAAAATTGAAGTGCTAGGTGAGTTTTACTCATTGACAAAAGGAAGTTTATTAAATATGAACATACTTAAGTAATGGAAAATTTAAATATGTATGTATATATATACATTTATAAAACAATATAAGTACCTACTGCATAGTAGTGGGCACAGGGATGTACTGTGGACATGACTGATGTGGTTACTCTTATTGAACTTGGAGTCTAACTTAGGAGGCAGATGCTAAAATAAATAGTTACTATTGTTATTTAACATTGATTAAGCACTTATTATATACTAAGTGCTCTTTCCCCAGTCTAGAATTACAAATTGTATATGTCCTGATTATATCATATTGTTTGGAGTTCAAATAAATAAAGGAGGAGTCAGGTCTTTCAAAGATAGGATGAAGTCATTGTCAGTTTAGCTGAGGAGAGCGGCCCCTTGAAGGTTAAGTTATGGAATAAAAGAGTTAATGGGTAAAACACATGAACTCTTTCCTCATTGCTTTTTCAGTGGCATGAGTCCAGTCACTAATGGCTTAGTGTCTCGGCCTCACCAGAACACTAAAAAAAACCTTATTCCTTCATTACACAGAAATGTAGATTTGCTTCTTTCCTTTATAAAGTTGACTAATATGATTTTTTGTTTTGTGATTGTAGAAGAAATTGCTTCAGAGAATTCAGATTCCATCTATAGTTCAACTCCTGAAGTGAAGGCCTGAGTATCATGCCTATGCCTCAGCAGTATACAACCACGGACTAAAACAAGCAAGCAGAGAACAGCATCAGCCTTTCAGAGTTGGTCTCTGCTTAAGACAAACATGGAGCAGTAAATAATGAGGAATGTGACTTAGCTCCAGTGCAGAACTAACTTGGTGTTATCTGTACATGAAAATGCAAGAGTATCAGATGAAGGCAGGTGGAGTTATGCTCTTGTAGTACGATGGCCTGTTGTCTTTTTAATGAATATGTGCAAGCCAACATCCAATTTCTCGTATTACAGTTAGATTCTGGTAGCTGTTTATGTTATGGAGAAGAAAAATATATTGGCCTATTTTTCTGACCTTTCTCTTCAGGCAGAAAGCCTTTTTTGTGAAGAGGAGGGGGAATACATGATAAAGTAACTGGCTTGATTTCTCGTTCATTGTACACTGCTTCTGAACATCTAATTGTTTTTAGTTGTCTAAATAAAATGCCTCTAAAACAAAACAGTGTTTGTTTCTTGGGAAAAATTGATAGATTTGAGTTTTATAAATGGAAATTATCTACATCATAACTATCAAAACAATCTGGTGAATCTGTAGTTTCTTAATTTTGAAATTCAGTTATTTGTACTGAATATTTGAAATTTGCTGGGGTTACATTTACCTCCTTAGCCTGGATAGAAATGCTTGACCTGCCTTAAAAAAAAACTTTTCAGAATAATGTCTTATTTAAGTGATACATGCTGGTTATAAGAAGAAAAACAATTCAGAATTAGCAGAAAAATCACTCAAAATCCCACCCACCCCCAAAGTCAATTAAAATTCAGCGAACATTAATGCACATTAGTGCATCCCTGTGTGCATAGACATAGACAGAAAAAGTTTTATAAAAATGGGATAATCGTAGGCTTGCAATGTTTATTTTACTTTATCCTTCAAGTGCAGGTGGCATTCAAAAAGCCTTGTTACCAACCTTCCAAATAAAATGGGTCAACTGAATTTAGATGTGTATGTATTTTTTAAATGGAGGGGATATTGAATTAGTACCCTGGAAATATTTCTGAACAATGAATAACATCTCTGCCAAATTGTTTTTTCTGTCCTTATTTACCTTGTGAATGACCCTTGATAGCTTTCCTTTAAAAGAAATAGCCAACCGAAGAATAGAAGTTTTTGAAGATTTCTGGTGACCAGAAGCAAGCACTGGTTATGACCACCGTAGAAGGCGAAGAGAGGTTTGCCATAGGGGAAGCCAATTTACTACATGTTTGGTCCTCTGCTTTATCGAAGCAGTATTATCAATGTGCCAAAGGTGGCCAGACTGATCCTACATAAAGTTGAGATATTTTATATGCACCTGATTAGAATCATGAAATATCTTGGTATTTATGAAAATTGTGATCCAAGGGAATTTCTTCTACTTAGATTTCCTAAAGACGCTGTACACCATCACTGGTGGCATATGGCTTGGAATCTTTTTTTTTTTTTTAATCCTCATCTGAGGATGTTTTTTGTATTGCTTTTCAGAGAGTGGGAGGGAGGAAGGGAGAGAGAAACACCCATGTGAGAGACATGTCAATTGGTTGCCTCCTGCGCTTACCCCGACCAGGGCCAAGGATGAGCCTGCAACCAAGGTACATGTCCTTGGCTGGAGCTGAACCTGGGACCTTTCAGGCCACAGGTCAGTGCTCTCACCACTGGGCCAAACTGGCTGGGACTGGCTTAGAATCTATTATTAATGAAGTCGTTTTGAGTTAAGTGTGTAAGTTGAAGAATTTCAGGTCATGAAGCTCTGTCATATGCCTTATACTCATGTAACTGGAATGTTCATGTTTGTCATATCTCTGGTTGATGTGTTAGATAAGCTGTGAAGTTCTTATGCTTTTAGCACAGTTTAAGGTAGTGGTTTCCCAATTAAGTCATTTTTAGGTTTCAGCTTTTGCTAGAATAATAGGGTTGCTTATACTTACTAGCTACTTTTGTTTAAACAACAAAGGGTATGTTTTTAGGGATTTTACTACTTTAACTCTTAAGGGTAACCTCTTTTTTCTTTATAGCCTTATGTATACTGAGTATACAGACCACCTAGCAGGACATGGGAATAACCAGTTTTTGGTATCATTTGTGTGTTGATTTTCTGTTGCTGCTGTTACAGATTACTACAAATTTGTAGCTTAAAACAACACAGATTTATCTATTTTAAAGAGGTCACAAGTCCGAAATGAGTGTCACTAGGCTAAAATTAAGGTGCTGACGGGGTTGCATTCTTCTGGAGACGGGAAAATCTGTTTCCTTTTCCAACTTTTAGAGGCCACCAGCATTCCTTGGCTGATGGTTCTTCCCTCTGTCTTCAAAGCCAAGAAACCAGGATTGAGTTTGGTCCATCAGTTCTCTTATGTGTTTTTCCCATCAGTAAATAAAGTTCAACAGGTTCTTGTTAATGACTACAAAATAGTAAAGATGTACCATAATTTATATTACCTTACATGCTACATTTTTAATAGTTTAAATTTTATTAATTTAGCCTACCTTCTCTTTGAGGCTAAGGTGGGGCTGGGGAAAGGGATGCACTTTTTCAGAAAGCAGCAATAACAAAACGGGGAGTTGAAAATGCAGATCAAGGGAAAGTATGTCTTTAGTAGGTACCATATGTTTTACACCTGGATATTTTAAAACAAAAAGTGATTCTTAATGTGCCACCAATTACATTACATGTTGTTCTCTTACACTGTTTGGGATTCCTAAGAAAGAATTACTGGAACCAAGAACATTTTCAGGAGGCTTGGCTTTCTTATCTAAAGGAATGCACAATTTTCAGTGTGACATAGTGTCACCTAGATCAATGGTACTTTAAAATCAGTAGAGTTCCTGGAGAAACAAATGAGACATCTAATTTACCTGTGGAAACAAGGTCGAAGTATGCAGCTGATAGCTAATGAGTAATATTTTATAGGTTGAATCACTTTATTACTGAGAGAAAGGAACTTGGTCTAGTGGGAAATATCTGATTTTAGTTTACAGACGGCACACATGACGGTAGTCCCATAATATAATAGAAATGAAAAATTCTTATCGCCTCCTGATGTCTCTGTCTTATGTGTTGTAATATATGTATTAGCACGTTTGTGGTGATGCTGGTGTAAGCAAACCTGCAGAGCCAGTCGTATAATTATAGCACATACAATTATGTACAATACATAGTACTTGATGATAATAAACTATGTTAACTGGTTTATGTATTTATTATGCTTTCTATCATTTTTTAGTGTATTCTTTCTACTTAAAAGAAAATTTGCTGTAAAACTGCCACGTAACCCCAGCAGCAGGCTTATCTCATGTTCACCGCATCTCTTGATTGCATCATTTTCTCTTGTGCTAGATTTAATCTTGTGTTTTATAAGCTTAGTGTAGCCGAAGTGCACAGTGCTTATAAAGTCCACAGCAGTGAACAGTAATGTCCTTTGCATTCACTCCTCACTCACTCACCCAGAGCAATTTCCAGTGCTGCAGGCTGTATTCATGGTAAGTGCCCTACACGGGTACCACTTTAACTTCTATCCCAGATTTTTACTGTATCTTTTCTATGTTTAGATAAGTTTAGTTGCACAAATACTTAACCATTGTGTTACAATTATCTACAGTGTTCAGTACAGTAACATGCCATGCAGGTTTGTAGCCTAGGAGCAATAGGCTAGCCCATATAGCCTGGGAGTGTAGAGGTAGGCTATACCAGCCAGGTTTGTGTAAGAGCACTCTGATGTTCACACAATGATGAAATCACCTAACTGCATTTCGTGGAACATACCCCTGTTGCTAAGTGGCGCATGACTGTATATGGGTAACCTGATTTCATAGGGATTTAATGGTTTGTCTAATGAATTTGTCTTCAGAGAGAGAGTGGGGATAGTGTGTGGTCTATAGGGTTAAATTGCCTGGGATCTTACCATCTAGACTTA